CTGTGTAAAGGTCAATATGTGAGTGTTGTCCACAAATTCGATAGTTCAAACAATTTTTTTTTAGCATTATTTACAAAAAAGATTATTTAATTTATATGCATTATGTACGGCATGCTAATTATTGCACGGAAAATTTGACTGTGGCCCCACTAGGAGCTTTGGATGAAAAGAAGGTTCTCATTTGAAGTACATTCCTTTCTTGGTTATATATTTAGGAATATTTTTGTGAAGTTCTTCACACTAGGATAAAAGACTGCACTGAAGGCAGACATGCTTGATAAAGCATCTTAGATTTGGTTCAATTTTAGCTATAATTAAATAAAATTAGTATAGTTACCTTCAGTCTTTTTAGAATCCACTGTAAAAATCCTTGTTTTGCTACTTCAATACAAAGCTCTGGTCTGAATTCTGTGATATTTTCAATAATACCTTAAACGATAAGACAAATTTCATTATTTCAGTTATTGCCATTATATATTTATCATTCTATCATAACATATCATATTTATTAGTTTGTAGTTAAATGGTTAAAATGAAATTCTTATATGATATATTGACATACCCAGTGTATTATGGACAGCGTCTCGTTCATCTGGTACCTGCTCATCCAATCGAGTCAGGTTGTGTAGTAATAATGCAGGTGCTTCAGCTTCAGCCATTGCATTTATTAAATCTTCCGCACCTTCCTCACTCTCATGGAGTATGTCAACATCTGTCATTTCCTAAGGTACATCAATTGTAAATATTATCAGAATTACAATTTTATTACTAGTTTATTACTATGGCAAAATATATTTTTTAAATATTGACAATAACTGCATGAAATGTCATCATTATTTATTTTGGTACAGTAGGCAGTGGTTTGGCTCTGCCCCTGGCATTATAACATAGACGTTTGTTTGAGATAAAAGATATAGAAGTAATAATTGGGTCAGTTTTTATTTTTGACCATTTTTAAAAAGGTTAAAACCCTTTCTTGTAACATACATTTCACGGACAGAAACTGTCATATACTCTATATCAGTATTGCCACATATAAATATGTAATTTCATTGAAAATGACGCACAACATCTGGAAACACAAATAAATGATTTGCATGAGTTTATTTAACCCATAGACTGCCCAAGACTGATACAAAAGAAAGAAGCCCGAGCCCTACAATCCAGCAGAGGGTAATAGGCAAGAAAGAAGACATGAGTTTTTTATCTTAGTCATGCTTACACTGGATACTGAGCCCAGCAACATTGTTTTGCAAAATTTATAAGCATATACATACCTGTAGCAGTTGAACAACTTTGGTGGAAACATCAGTATTATCATGTGATAGTAATTCTAATAATGAGTTCACACACTTCAATTCCACAAGCAGAGGATACTGGTCTGGTACTGTTGCTACAGCACTTAAATCCTGTAATAATTACAATTCTTATGATTTTTTTTTTTTTAATGGCATACATGAGTGCATAGCCCACCTGATGCAGCCAAAATAGTATTATGTAAGAGCCTAATGCAGCCAAAATTCCAATAATATTATGAAATAGTTGTTTAATACTTCAGAACAGAACACATAACTAAATTGCAACAGAAATAGGATGGTTGCGCAAAGCCTTGAGGGCTGATAATGAAGTTACTATCAGTTTCTTCTGAATATCATAACACAATATTATACCTGTAATGCATCATGTAAATCAATTTCACTGTCCATAAACTTGTCTGGCTGATCAGGAAATTTAATCCTCATCTCTCTATTTCTAAGTGCTTTCTTTTCAAAATTGAGAACTAGTTTCTTCACTGTGGTTTCATCTAGTACTTCTCCCTGTAGATTCAATACATCTATGAGTTTATAATCACTAACTTAATTGAATAAACATTAAGAAGTATTTCAGATTATGAATTAAAATTGTTCAGAGCTTCTGACTCAATAAACTAATTTTCTTTTCATCTTGCCCTTTCTATGTATGTCTGTCATGAGTATGATCTTATTTATTCCGTTGCATCTTTCAGGGCCCGAGGAGTATTCACTCCTACTTATTGCATTAATACATAAAATGAACTCTTTTCATTTGGGATTTCTATAATTCATCTGTAACATGTCCCTCTTTAAATTATGTGTGAACAAAGACAACTTCGGAGGTTAGCTTGGTTTTTCTATTAGCATTAATGTCCATAAGTGACAAAGACAATTTGAAAACAGGATTGCCTAATCTACCTTTGATGACAGCAAAATATACAGGATGGTTTAAAAACTATTAATTTTTGTTTCATTCTTCCTTAATTTTACAAATAATACAATAATTACCTCTGTTACTTCAGTGGCAACAAATTTAAGAATATCTTCTCGTTCTTTATCAGTAATCGAGGGTTCCTTCAACATATTCTTGCTCAAATGTACAGGTTCCTGTTTAAGTTTGGTGGTACGACGAATTTTAGCACTTTTGGCTTGATCCTCCTCATCGCTTTCATCTTCATTTGGCCGTTTTGGTGTTGGCGTAGGCTGCGAAGTTAATATTTATGTTTATTCGTTTTTTTGTTGAATTAAATAAACTGTTGCACCGTTAAGATATAGATTAATACTTTGAATGTTAATAGCTCGGCAACATCCATTTTTTATTTTAAGCGAAAAGGTAATTTTTGGGCTTATTACGTATTGGTGATATTTTTAACTGTCCTGAGTTTTCATATTTTAATTCAAACTTCTCAATGTCCATAAAAGTCCCTATTTTTAAGGTTAGTTTCAAAGGTTTTTTTTGTTGTTTTTAATCAAATTAAGTGTATAATCTATGGTTTTAATATTATGCCATAGATAAAAAAAATTTAATTTTGTGACCTGGTGACAAGAGTCCTTTAGGTCATATCTTATTTGGAAGATAATTTTTAAATTTATGAGCTATGCATAGTTTTTTTTCTTTTTTATTGCTTACATGTGTGGACGAGCTCACAGCTCACCTGGTGTTAAGTGGTTACTGGAGCCCATAGACATCTACAACGTAAATGCGCCACACACCTTGAGATATAGTTCTAAGGTCTCAGTATTGTCACAACGGCTGCCCCACCCTTCAAACCGAAACGCATTACTGCTTCACGGCAGACATAGGCGGGGCGGTGGTACCTACCCGTGCGGACTCACAAGAGTGTCCTACCACCAGTAAAAAAGATACTACTAATATAGATACTAGATAGTACCTACACAACTATTTCACCATTTCTTTTTTTATCCAATTATACAGGTGAAGGGATACGATGAATTTATGCAAAGTACTAAACTCTTTCTGCAAAAATGTATGTGCCTTTTGAGGAAAAAATGAAACTCGAAAGAATATGGCAAGAAAGGCTACAATAAACTCCTGAGTAAAATGGTGGAAAATGTAATTGAGATAAAGATAAAGTGTAAATAAAGGTTTTCTCGGTTAGTGAGCCCTTTAAAATACCAGTAATGCCATAAGAAATAGCTTAAAAAACTTGCAATCACGGACAGCTCCTGGATCCGAAAGCTTGCACAACATTAAAAATTTTACCTATTCAACTAATAATTGTGTTCTCCATTTTAAATGCCACTATGGCGAGCTGAATCTGTCTCACGGTATGGATCAGAGGTTATCGGTATACCCGAAAACTAGAAAAACTTTAAACGAACCCACGAGTTACTATCCAATTAGCATCTTTCCAGCAATAGACAAATTGTATAAACGTTTGATTCGCTTGAAACGCTTCTGGAACTTCGTCACCTCGAAAGGCAAAGGTACAGTCATTAGATTCCGTGCTTAACAGCCGTGCATCCAATGACTGTACCGCCTCACGGAGCACATCTTAGTAAAGCTAAATAGACCCAGACCCATTCCTCATACTCTCGACCTGATGGAATTTCTAACACCAAGTCTAACAAGAGTGGTGCTTTGCTAAATCACAAGATCACAGGATCGAAATCGCGGCCTGCAGAACTGAAGATCTTCCAAGAAACTTAGGTAGTGTCTGTGGGTTGTACGTTCGAACTCTTCCACAAGAACGTCGACCGGTGCTCGAAATGCTATAAAGCACGGAGAGGGTATCGGGAGGAAATAGCGTGTTTCTAAAACACGGTTTTATAACTAATCGAATATGTTTCTGTTTTTTTAATGATGAGTTATTTGCATATTAGGGTAGTTTTCCAATTACAGCACAAGAGCGCATTATGCGGCATAATGCTCAACGTTGAATGTTCCAACTACAGCAACGCTTCGCACAATCGAGCACTCTCAAAAGTACTGCTCTCGCGTGATGCGTGCAATCGATACCGACTCAGTGACAGAAAATGGACAAGTGTTTTTCTTTAAGTTGGCATTGATCGAAATTTTGTTTATATTATCATTAGTAATATTATTTAATGTTGAAAAAAATTGTAAGGCTTTCGTTTCGTCGTAGTTTCTTAGAAATAATCAAGGTTAATTAAAACTGTGCTAACTTAGCGCATTCTGCTGATGTATTTGAAAACTAATTCACGTTCCAATTAAGCTTCAGCATAATTCGGCATTGTTCGTCACTGAGTCGCAATATGCTCTGTAATTAGAAAACTACAAACTACCTAGTTAAGTACCTTCCTGTTAATTTTTTACATTCATTTTTGATACAGATAAACTGGTCCACAGAGTATCTAAGTAGTCATTTTTATTTGTGTTGAATAAGTTTGGCGGTAAATTGAAAAATTTTAAGTTAATAACCTAATAACTTTCAAATGAAAATATGTTTGAAAATCAGAATGTTAAAAACTATTTACAGAGTTTTAAATATAATTGCAGTAATAGCTATAAAAGTTTTCAAAATCAGGTACTTTAATTTAAGATAAATTACAAATTTAGTATTGTTAGTTCCGACTTAAAAAATACAAATTTTTAGTATTTCCGACCTAATATAAATTTCAATACTCCCTTATTTACCTCAAGATTTCTAATTTTATAATGTCTGCTATTTCTAATAGTTTTATGTAGTTTTTAGTGTATTTTTTACACTGCATTTGTTAAGTTACATGTTTTACGATCCACAATGGGTAAGATCCGCTTATCACTAATTTATTTATAATTTTCAGTTCAGTCTTTAACTAATCGCCATTCTTTGTCGTTAATCTTGTTTACTTTGTCCACAGAATATTAGTTCAACATCACAGTTTATTTCGAAGACCGATTTGCATGAGCTATTGGAAATTTTTAACACAAGTTCTAACTTAGAAACACAAATAAAGCTTATCTCTATACTCAATAGATATTTGCTGACAAACGTAAGAATATTCTATACTAGCTTTTGCCCGCGACTCCGTCCGCGTGGAATAGTTACTTTGGCACAACGCTAAATTTTACCCCCCACTTCAGCTACGTAGAAAGTGAAAATATTTTGAAACATTCTTTATTGGTGCTCCACTTGTATCGGTCTTATTATGTTATAGCCTACCTCAATAAATGGGCAATCTAACACTGATAGAATTTTTCAAATCGGACCAGTACTTCCTGAGATTAGCGCGTTCAAACAAACAAACTCTTTGGCTTTATAATATTAGTATACCTGTCCGGCTGTCCGTAAATTTCTCGAATGAATATTCGAGACATTTAATTTTCAAATTAACGTTGCCATTTAACGTAAATGGTGTGCGATAATTCAGTTGCAATTTTTCGCCTATTGTTTTTTGGTCAGTGCGAAAATCCGAGAAGTAAAATATTTGTAAACGACTTTATCGAATTCCAAAAGCTTTACTTTTATTTCTTTTCACAGATATTAACTACTACTTATATGATATAACTATTACATGACTTGATTTTTAAATTTTTAATTTTCTACGTTATTTTTAGAATGCACAGCACGTAGATGTTATTATGCGATGCAAACCTATGTACTATACAATAGACCGCATACTAGCCATGAATCTACCAAAAAAGACTGCGACGATTCTTAATTTCCTAACGTTAATACTTTTCTGTGACAACGAGGAATGCACGTCTAGACAACACACTTTGAGTTTATTCGCGAAGAATATGATACGAACGAGCGGATGTCTCGCTACCCTCATAGACGTATTCTTGGCGCACATGGTGGTGAGTTCACAACTAATTATTCTCTCACATAAGGGACAGTCGTTGCATTACTAAGGCAGACGCCTTCAGCTCTAAGACAGGGAGCAGGCTCAGGGCCAGATTTAGATGTTTAGCGGCCTCGGGGCAATAGGGCAGAGGGCCCCCTGGCCCCAATTCTTTTCCAAATGAACAATTTTTTTCAGTCATATTTTCCAATAAATGGGTGATCGAATAAATGATTAAGCGAATCTACGTGGTTTCATACCACGTAGATTCGCTTAGTATACATGTACAGTACAGTAACAGTAAACATAGGTACACAAATATAATCGGAGACAAGAATTGTCTGAAATTAGATTTCGAAGGAAGAAAAGGTGTACTAGTGTTTACTTGTTGGAATTTAAAAGATTTTATTCCAAAATATCTATTGTGGGGGTCCTCCGTTTGTGGAGGCCCTGGAGCTTTCGCCCCGGTTGCCCTCCCGTAAATCCGGCCCTGAGCAGACTTAGGGACCTCGGTAACCGTACTCTTTGAATTCGACGAGCAACCTAATCCATAAATTCGCTGAGTTTCTCGCCGGATCTTCTCAACGGGCCGCGATTCCGATCCGGTAGTAGATTCATTCGCGAAACAGCTGCTCTTGAGTTGTTAGTCCTTTGGAGGCGCTCGGGTAGCTGTTAGTAAATCTCGCCACTCCTGGCTGAGCTTGTGCTCGCCCGCGTGTCCTAGTGAAGCGGAAAAGGCCTTCGGGCCAACAGTAATCCTTCAATCATAGAAAAAACGAATACTAAGGCAACTGAGAGTGAATTATTGTCTCATAGGCGGGCGGCATTCACATAGTCGTGCTTATGGTCTCCATCGAGGAGAGTGCTGTCTACTCTGTCTGCCTGATGTTTTTGCACAGAGAGTACCTACACAACTTTTCAAATTTTGAAATCCCTTTCCAATCCACAAAACAAAAACAAAAAAACATCGATGTTATTAGTGTTTCCAGTGCGCTCTCTATAGAACCAAATTTTTTTTTTTAACATCTATATTAATTTCGAAACAAATTTCGATTTTGAATATTGCTTACCGACTGTAATTCCGGTTTCTGTGGTATTTGCCGGTGCTCTTGGGCGGCAATGATTTTACACTTTATATTGTGTAGGCTGCATTCCTGTTAAATTATTGAGAGCCAACAGCTATGTATATCCTAATTTGTACTCTAAATACTAAACTCTGTTCATATTCAGTAAAAATAATAATCAAATATTGCTACTAGCTACATATCTTCACTTCATTTTTATTTTCAAGCGGCAAGACACTTGGATTTCTCTATGTCATTGTTTAACTGAAATATGTTGTGGTTCAGAAGTTAATCAGAGCTATTGTTCCCACCTCATATGTCAGGTTAGTTATGTTATGAAATAAACGTTTAAAAACTTCTCTCGAAAACCCTATTTTGAGGTGACGTGGCCTAAAGGATAAGACGTCCGGTGCATTCGTATTATTTCGTATCTAGCGACTGTGCCGGCGTTCGAATCTCGCTGCGAGTACCAATTTTTCTAATGAAATACGTACTTAACAAATGTTCACGATTGACTTCCAAGGTGAAGAATAACATCGTGTAATCAAAATCAACCCGCAAAGTAATTATGTGCGTGATTACTTGTGGTAGGACCTCTTGTGAGTCCGGACGGGTAGGTATCACCGCCCTGTCTATTTCTGCCGTGAAGCAGTAATGCGTTTCAGTTTGAAGGGTGGGGCAGCCGTTGTACTGTAAAAACTGAAACCTTAGAACTCATATCTCAAGGTGGGTGGCGGTATTTACGTTGTAGATGTCTATGGGCTCCAGTAACCCCTTAACATCAGGTGAGCGGTGAGCTCGTCCACCCATCTAAGCAAATAAAAAAAAACGTTCTTTTTGATCCAAACGACTAACAAATATAGTGGAGTTATTAAATGCTAAGAATAGCCACCGTTGTTTTCGTTTCTCAAAAACTAAGTATTTTTAATTAATTAGACATACATAAATCATGTTTGTAGGTATTTGATAGATTCATATTGACAGCATTCTGGGGTTCACGGGCTCTTAGACTAATAATAACTTAGTTTAATGATACATAAGCTTAATTTAATGATACAAATTTTCAGTCTGTACAGAAATGCAGACAGGGTGCTTTTGAATTATTCCCATTAATTCAGAGTTTAACGTCGGGACACAAACGAAACGTTAAAATATTCATTGAATGCGAAGGAATTTCGTTATTTTCAAGGTTACTATTGAAATATTTTTATGGACTCTTTTTTTTTAATATCCCGCTTCAAAAAGAGGAGAGATTCAATTCGATTCGACCTCAAAACTTTTGTCTAAATGAATCGATTTTAATGTTTTGTTTTATTATAATATTTAAAAGCTTGTGCTTCTCATACGCTTCTATTGAAATTATTAAGATCGGATCAGTAGTTTTTTGAGCCATTCATCCTTAGACTTCGACTTGAACTACATTGATGTTAATCTCATTTATAACGGAACGTAATTTCCGAACGTGCGATACCGCCCCCGCCGCCGCCTTACCGCCCGCTGAGACAGAGCTCTCTGAGCGCGAAAATACACGCCCTCAGCGCGCGCGACGACGACCAGTAAAATATTGCGAGTCTTAGTTTAACTGTACGATTCTCAACTCATTTTGTATTTTGTTAGTTATTGTGTCGCTTTTTTTATATTAAACCTCATACCAAATCAGTGTAAACATTATTTATATATCATCTTCGCCAACAGCCCGGAACAACGAACTCACGAAAACTCACAAAAGCCCGCCAGTCGGACTTGTAGTGTTAAAAATGGCGCCCGAACGTTTAGCTGTGAAGTGATATTTATAAGAAATTATTGTGCCTGCATGAACGATTTGTGTTTTCCTGACTTTACCGACTAAACCGTCGTCAAATAATGCCGCCGAAGAAGATGCCGAATTCCGAGGAGCGCGACGCGAGAGCCGCGTCGCCGCCCCACGTGCCGTCGAGTGACGCGCCGCCCGCCAGTGTTTGCTTCCGCCCGGAAGACATCACCATGCTGATCGACACCCTTCAACGAACGCAGCTAGACGCGTTCCGGGAGCTGTTAGATAGCGTCAGGCAGTCGGCGACTCCTACATTCGACCATCGGCCCGCCAACAACTTCAGCCGCTGCAAATCTGTATTCAGCGGACGCGCAGACGAGTCAGTAGAAGGTTTTATCGACGCAATAGAATCGTACAGAGACGCCGCCAATGTTCCCGATGACGTAGCCGTAAAAGGTATTTCCATGTTGCTAACACACACCGCCGCTACCTGGTGGCAGGGTATCAAGCATCAAGTTTCTACATGGGAAGACGTCATCTCAAATCTACGAAGTGCTTTTGGTGATCGCCGCCCACCCCACAGAATTTATGTCGACCTATTCGCAGACGGCCAGCAGCCTATGGAGAAAACCGAGGCTATTATATGCCAAATCGACCACTTTTGCGTCCGACCCCTTTAGATTCAGCTGAAACTTTATTATTCTTTTCTACCCTTTGAAAAACATCTTTGAGAATTTTTTCAAAT